GGGGTGGGGGGCGAGGACCTGTATTTATATTTGTTTGTAAACATGCACATCTATTCTGGAAAGATACTCAGGAAATCAAGAGCAGTGGGCTATCCATGGGGGAAAGGAGGGGAACTGAGACTGGGTAGGGAGATTCTACAGTGTAAACTTTCTTAACACTTTTTGTTCCTTGACACACCTGAATGTATTAACTACTCAAAAATAAAATTAGTTAAGAAGTTTGGAGAGAGGGGCTTGATTTGGGATTGGTAAGATTTGGCTGCCTTTTTATGCTGACCAAAATGACAATGATAATGAAATAATAATGATATGGATAGCACGTAAGATTTCCTAATTCATACGTATTAGTTTCCCATGGCTGCTGTAACAGATTGCCATAAATTGGGTGGTTTACAGGAACAGAAATTTATTCTTTCATAGTTCTGGAGAAGTCCAAAGTCAAGATGTCAGGAGGGCTGTGCTTCCTTTGAAGCCTCTGGGGAAGGATCTTTCCTTGTCTCTTCTGGCAGCTCCAGGCATGACTTGGCTTTTTTGGCTACTTGACTCCAATCTCCGTCTCTGTCTTCACATAGCTCGTCTCTTCTGTCTGCATCTTTAATACTCGTCACTGAATTTAGGGTCCACCCGGATAATCCAGGATGATCTCATCTTAAAGTCCTTAATTATATCTGCAAAGACCCTTTGTTCAAATAAGATCACTTTCATAGGTCCTGGGGGGTGAGGACAAGGGCCTAATCCTTCTGCAGGTCCCCGCTCAACCAACTGCACTTACTGTGTGCTCTGTAGGGTGATAAGCAGTTTACATAATCTCACCCGAGTCCCCAACACAGCCCATGAAGTAGGTACACTTATTATCTCCATCTACCCAGTGAACTCAGAGAGGTGCAGCATCTTGCTCATGGTCACACAGGAATCAGTACTCAAACCCAGCTGTGTCCGGCTCCAAACTGATTCTGTGCGAGGCACAAAAGAGGTTCCTGGTTCTGGGCCAAAGTCGGACAGTCAGGCAGCAAAAATTTCCTGGCATGTTTGCTCTTCACCAGACCCTGGGCCAGGCCCTGGGGCCACGGAGGAAGGGAAAGAAGGGCGAGTCCCTGGGGAGTGGCTTGGAGAAGAGGCGGAGCGGGAGATCGTATTATTCATCAGCCCTTTAGAAGCCTTACCATCGGATATGACTCCTGCCTCTGGAGCGCTGCCCTTGACCAGAGACGTGCACAGGGGGCAACCAAGGCCAGGAGTTTGTCACGAAGAAAAGGGCAGAGGAATAAAGTTCGCATCCAGACGGAATGTGTCAAGTACAAGTAACATTTAAGCGGCAGTTACTGCAGGCCGCAGGCCAGTTCACGAATTTGAGGCAACCGAGGCACCAAGAGGTTGAGCTGTTCAAGGTCGCTGGGCAGGAAGTAAATAGAGATGGGATTCAGACCCAACTCTGCCCATCATCACAGGCCCTATTGCTGTTTTTTTAAATAGCCAGGTGAAACTGATATCAAATTAATCACGTCAGAGTGAATCGTGCAATGGCGTTAAGTACTTCACAATGCTGTGCAACCATCACCTCTGTCTAATTCCAAAACATTTTCATCAAACGGGACACCCAGTAGCATTACTCCCCATTTCTCCCTCGTCCCAACCCTTGGCAACCACTGGTTTCTCTGATTCTGTGGATTTGACTACTCTGGACATTTCATATCAATGGAATCATACAATATGTGACCTTTTGTGTCTAGCTTCTCTCACTCAGTATCATGTTTTGTTTGTTTGTTTGTTGTTAATCCTGACAGGAGGACTTTTTTCCCTTGATTTTTAGAGACAGTGAAAGGGAGGGAGGGGGAGAGAGAGAGAAACATCGATGTGAGAGAGACACATCAATCGGTTGCCTCCCGCATGCGCCCCAACTGGGGCAGGGATCCTGAAACCCAGGTATGTGCCCTTGACTGGGAATTGAACCCGTGACCCCTTGGTTCTCGAGCCAATGCTCTAACCACTGAGCCAAACCAGCCAGGGCTCAGCATCATGTTTTTTGCGATTCATCCACATTGTAGCATATATAAGAACTTCATACCTTTTATGGAGAAGTAATATTCCGTTGATGGATGGACCACATTGTGTTCATCCATTCATCTGGTGATGGACATTTGGGTTGCTTCTGCTTTTTGGCTGTTTTGAATACTGCTGCTATGAATGTGTGTGTGCAGCAATGTGCACATAATGATTAAAATGGCTCGTTTTATTTTATATGAATTTTATCTCAATGTTAAAAAAAAAAAAAAAAAGTGCCCTGTCTGGAGGATTCGGCTGGTTGGAGCCTAGTCCTGTGCACCAAAAGGTTGTGGGTTTGATCCCCAGTCACAGCACCTGTGAGAGGCAAACAACTGATGTTTCTCTCTCCTTCTCTCTCTCCCTCTTTCTCTCTCTCTATCTCTTCTTCTCTCTAAAATCAATAAACATATTGGGTAAGAATTTTTAAAAAAGTAATGCTATCAGCTGAGAGGGCCTAGAAGCAGTGACGTAACGCCCCACCCCCAGTAGCAATGAGCAGGCCCAGCGCCCAGACCTTGGTTTCCCAGTGCCATTCTCCAGTAAAGGGAACTCAGGCTTCTTGGGGGAAAGGCTGATTCTAGGACTGAGGTGGGGAAAACACAAGATGAGCCTGGAACATCTTGTGGTGCCAGAAAATAACAAAGTACTACAGACAAACACACACAAACGGAGTCATGCCTGAAATAAAATGTTTACCGCGGGGTCCAACCGAAAGAGCTCCCAGTGGCCAAAGCTGGAACAATTTGGGCAACAAAAGAAATAACAGTAGTACTGGATTATAACCCAAAGAGTAAAATAACTGTTCCCAAATCCATATGGCTATAAAGAAAGGATTCAATAAACAAATCAACGGAGACAAAGCAACTCTTCCTTACAGAAGAATTCCAAATAATAAATAATAGTAGGTGTAGCAGAATGAGATAAAAGGAAAATTACTAGTAAACAAAAATCACAGTAATAATTTCCACACACAAGATCCACCAATGAATGTAAAAGCAATGGGTGAACTTTAATGGGAAACAGGACCTTTGCAGGGCCTCACAGTATCTCAGCCAAAGTATCAATTTTTTGTGTTTTTATCATAGTTTTAACATAGGTCCACCATTACTGCATACTCCACCTCCCATTGCCCTGCTCTGGGTGGAGGCTGAGAGCGTTCTGTTTCTGTACTTGAGTGGTGGTCACAGTAATTTGTTCCATTTGTGAAAATTCTTCCAAGTGTCCACTTACAATATGTGCGCTTTTCTGTATGTGCAATAAAAAGTCCAATTTATTCAAGTGCAACAAGAAAAAAAAAGGAGAGAGATAGACTCGGCTGTCTGTTTTGGAGAGGCATGTGTTAGTGTTAAAACTATAATGAAAAACAAAGAAATGATGGTAGCTAAAGTCAGGATGCCTGTTACCTCTGGGGAAAGCAAGGGACTAGGATCAAGCAGGATGTGGGGTGAGGGGTCGACATCTGGGGTGCTTGTACCATCCGATTTCCTGATCTGAGTGATGACACCGTGTCCGGTTTAAAATGGTTTAAGTTACATATGTTATGATTTTTGTCTTTCAGTGGTATCAGGGAGCCAGCTACACTGACTTGTTAGGACAGATTTCAAATTTCCAGGAATTTAGGGACATCATAGTGACATCTAACGTTAGTAGCTTGAATTTGCCAGAAATCAAAAAATGCTACCAATAATATCTTTGGGAAGAGCCTTCTCCCCCCGAGAGCATGGATTCTAGAGCCAGATGTCTCTGTTTCAATTTCCACCCCAACCCCGCTTACTAGCTGATTTGGGGCACCTTATGTCACCACTCTGTGCCTCAGTTTCCTCATCTGTACTGTGGGATCACCGTATTCCTAATCTTATAGTCCAGTGGCTCTCAGAAGTGGTTTCTGGACCAGCAGCATTAGCAGGGCCTGGAAATTTGGTGCACGCGCAGATTCTCTGCTGCTCTGCAGGTGGGCCCAGTGTTCTGGGTTTTAACAAGCCCTCCAGGAGATGCCGAGGCTCGCTCATATTTGACAACCATTATCCTAGGTCCTCAGGAGAATTAAGTAGATGACACAAATATGCAATATTTAGAGCAGTGCTTAATTCCGAGCCCATACTGTGTAAGGGCTCACTCTCCTTGCCGTTGTTATTATAGAGGAGGCCAAGACCCCAGTCCTGTGAGGAGGAGGGGTCTGGCTGCACCCTCTCTGCTGGTCTGGTGAGGGTCTAGGATCCTGGTGTCTGCGAAATTAAGGCCTTTTTGCCTCTCCGTTGAAGATGACAGAAAGTCAAACCACGTCACCCCATCCCTAGCAAAAGGTTATCGCCTAGTCCCAGAAATGGGAAAGGTCGGGGAGTGCTCGCCATGACAGCCTCTCCTCTGCTGGAACAGATAAAGGAGGTCACTTGGTTCCTCCACAACAGGTGGGGGAGTGAGGATGGGGAGGCTGGATGTATAAATGGGGGGCCAGGAGGCAGCAGAGGCACTGATCACTGGGAAACTGCCTCGCTCTGCCCACTCTCGCATCCCAGGCATCTCTGTCCAGCATGGCCAACCACCCACTGCTGCTGCTGCTGGCCCTGTGGATGCTAGCTGGGGGGCTGTGGCTGGAAGCCGAAGCTCAGGAAGCACCAGAAGATGGAGTGAAGCTTTGTGACCGAGAATTCATCAGGACACTCATCTTCACCTGTGGAAGCTCCCGATGGAGGCGGTCGGACATCCTGGCCCGAGAAGCAATAGGTGAGGCTGGGAGGTAGTGGAAGGTGTGAAATGGGGATATGGGACATGGGATGAGCCCAAGGAGGCAGGGACAAAAATGAGAACAAAGACCAGGGCAGGTGAGNATAAATGGGGGGCCAGGAGGCAGCAGAGGCACTGATCACTGGGAAACTGCCTCGCTCTGCCCACTCTCGCATCCCAGGCATCTCTGTCCAGCATGGCCAACCACCCACTGCTGCTGCTGCTGGCCCTGTGGATGCTAGCTGGGGGGCTGTGGCTGGAAGCCGAAGCTCAGGAAGCACCAGATGAAGAAGTGAAGCTTTGTGACACAGAATTCATTCGGAGAATGTTTGCCTCCTGTGGTATCCTATTGAAGCGGTCGGTCATCCTGGCCCGAGAAGCAATAGGTGAGGCTGGGAGGTAGTGGAAGGTGTGAAATGGGGATATGGGACATGGGATGAGCCCAAGGAGGCAGGGACAAAAATGAGAACAAAGACCAGGGCAGGTGAGTCTCTGTCCAAAACTTGCAGCTGAGGAGACCAGCCCATCCTCAAAGCTGAGCCTCTTGGCAGAACTGCAAAGCCGGGTTGGGGGGTGCAAGCCATCTCCACTGGCTAAAGTTAGAGGACAGGACTATTTCTGGGGCACCTGCTATGTGCCCAGCCCTGCGCTGAGCAAGGTAGATGCTTCCAGAACTCCAAGGGGACACCATTCAGAAGCTGCCACCGAAGTGCTTTCCAACCCCTTGGAGAAGGTAGTGTGCGTGTGTGGGTGGGGGGTCCTAGGCCAGATTTTGCCACCTAGTGGGTAACCCTCCCAGCAAGGCACTTTCCCCCTCTGATCCTCTTTATCTGCAAACAGGAGGCAGAGTCCCTGTACCTCACGTTTGTTCGGTGGCAAAGTTGAGTCAAAACAGATAAGGACACGGTCTAAGGAAGGCAGGTGGCTCAGTCTGGGCTCAGGCAGGGGGTAGGGGGTCTATTTTCCTAAAGGGCAGGGGTCTGGCAGAAAAATAGATGTTGGTGGTGATGATGACGACGACAACGATGATGATGATGTAAATGTGGACCTAGAATACATGCTGTCTGGGTTCAAATAGCAGCTCTACAATTCAAAAGCTGTGTGTTCATGTGCAGTTACTCTACCAAATTGGGCCTCAGTGGTGTTCTCTGGAAAAGAGGTGATACAACGGCACCCACCTCATGGGGTTGTCATTGGGAGGAATAACAGAGTTTATCCACGAGACCCCTTAAAACAATGCCTGGCACACTGTTAGTTTTCGATAAATGCTCAGGGCTATTTGAGTGCTAATCATGTATGAGACACAGTTCTAAGTTTTTCTAATGGGTATTAATTAACTCATCTACTCTGTATGAAACTCTCAAAGGGAGGAGTTATTATGTCCCTCACTTTGCAGACAAGGAAACCAAGACTCAGAGAAGTAAATTCACTTGCTCAGGATTATAACTTTGAGAAGCTGGATTGGTGCTTAATCAGTCTGCTCCCAAGCACATGTTCTTAACCACCAGGTCCTCCATAAACAAAGAGTAAGGGGAAAGAAATGACAGGAAATTCAAGCTCAGTAAGGTTGAATATTCTGCCCATCAAAGCTGGAACTTAGGCCTGAGTGGAATCAAAACCTTTAACCATGACACCATGTCACAAGAACAGAAAAGTAGCTTGACTAACCAGGAGCATGGGCTCTGGATGTGACAGAAACTGAGCCCCAAGCATTAACCTTTCTGATCTTTTGCAGATGCAGAATCTGATGCAGACAGTCAGCTGGAAGAGGCAGTGGCCTCCCTGATCAAGCTCGGCCAGAAGGGAACCCCAGGGGTTCTGCGGCACAGACGAGGTGTCGTGCTTGACCTCCACAACAAGTGCTGCAACTTGGGTTGCCACAAGAGTGAACTCAGAATTCTCTGCTAGACTGGGGACTGGGCAGCTGGGCGCACAAGGGGAAATGCTGAGTACCTGTCTCTGGCCCCCTCATATGTTCATTCTACAGCAAGTCATTGAGGTCAGGCACTATGGACTCCAACACAATCCCCCAAATTAACCCTGAACTTTGACCAAATTCTCCTAACCCAGAGCAAGCTGTATCTCTAGTTGGCCAAATGGTTGCCCCTGGTCCTGACTCCTGACCTCTCCCCAGCCCATATCAGGCCTTCGTCTGGACTATGCTGTCCCCTGTACAATGGAGCCCCTACCCTACCCAGACCAGCCACACTGAAGGAGCCCTTGACAAATCTATGGCTCTCCTGTGGCCACTGTCCCCCAGCCAGCCCAAAGGGTGCCCTGGCCCAGCCCAGCCTGTGCCCACTCCCTTGCCCTTGCCTTCCAGCCCCTCTCCCTCCAACCCCACCTGCTGTGGACCCCACGGTTGCTGTTGAGAACCCTTGGTTCCCTTCATATCCTGGGATGGGAGGCTAGGTAGTGGGACAGATCCCAACCTGCTCCCACCCGGATAATAAAAATTCCAAAGGACTCTGCAGCATGTGTGTGTGTGTGTTGTTGGGGGTGCTTAGCCCAGGGGATCTAAATATATCTTTATTGATTTCAGAGAGAGGAAAGGAGAGGGAGAGAGATAGAAACATCAATGATGAGAGAGTCACTGATCGAGCCCGCAACCCGGGCATGTGCCCTGACCGGGAATTGAACCCGGGTCGCCTGGATCCTAGGTCGACGCTCAACCGCTGAGCCACGCCCGGCGGCAACCCAGGGGATCTAGGACGAGCCCTCAGCCCCCTCCCCAAACGCCCCAGACCCGGTCTCTACTGCGCCCGCGGACTTTCCGTTGCTTGGAAGGAGCCGGGACCCAAGCGCAAGGTGTGAAGGCGGTGGGAGGGGTGGCTGTGCTTCCGGCGCCGCCCAGGCCCCGGACCGAGAGCGAGGCCCCGGGGGCTGGTCTGCGGGGCCGGCC